GTATTATGACAATTTGATTGGACCTAAATTGTCTGGATTAAGAATACATCATATATGTAAATGATGACATAAAAGCTAGGGATATTAACATATGCAAGATCATACATCAGGAACATTAAATAATATAAGAAACCCAAGAACACTGCAGTGAAAGCAAATTAAGCAACAAAAGTTGGGTAACATTCCTGCATCTATTTTGTTTATATTTGCTGATTAAAGAACTTGCTTTTATTTAAAGAAGAAAAAAAGTTGATACTGAAACAAATACTAAATATCTGAATTTTTGGTGAGTAAAACTTTTAATTTTTGAGTTATGCCCATCTCTCTCTTTTTGCTTCCCTGATAAAAAAAAAGAAGTTTTCTAACATTAATTTTTAGGAACTGTATAAGTATGTAGAGGTGACTGCTGTGATTTGGCAGGGGCAGAAGATTTTGATATGTGGCAGAGGAGACAAAAAAAAAGATAATCAAAATATTCCAATGATTTGGAAAAAAAAAAAAAAAAAAAAGGAAGAAATCAATAATCTTTTAAGATTTTTGTATATTTTGAAATTTTGTTAAGAAAGTGACAAGCAAGAAAACATAACTATTGATTAAGTAAAAAGATTTTTTAAACATATACACTAACATGTATCTACTTTTTATCAACACATCCATTTATTTATATGTAAATATATAAACACACAGAACTATTAGTTAATCCACAAGTGTATACATACAGGGTCTTGCAGCAAAATCCGACACTTGACAAAAAGAAAACAAAATAGGCAATAAAAACAAACGTTGCATATGCAGATACCCAACAGTTTATTTAGTAACAGTTAGAGGTACATACAACATTATTTTTCAATGTAACCACCTCTGGCGGCAACGACCATATCAAGGCGGGTGCGAAATGAGTCACACGCTTTGGTGACCATGTCCTTGTCCATAGCGACAAACGCCTCCATGATGGCAGCCTTCAGAGAATCAACCGTGTTGTGGACATGCTTGTTGGTCTTGGCCTTGATCACGCTCCAGAAGAAATAGTCAAGGGGGTTGCAGTCAGGTGAGGAGGACGGCCACAAGTCCAGCGACCAGAAGTGAGGAATATTGTTGAGCAGCCACGCCTGGGTCATCTTGGCCTATTTCTTCTGGGGCATTATTGAGGCCAAGACCAACAAGCACGCCCACAACACACCGCTATGGACATGGTCGCCAAAGCATGTGACTCATTTCATGCCCACCTTGAGATGGTCATCGCTGCTGGCAGCGGTTACATTGAAAAATAATGTAGTATGTAACTAACTGTTGCTAAATAAACTTTTGGGTCTCTGCATATAAAACTTTTGTTTTTATTGCCAATTTTGTTTTCTTTTCGTCAAGTGTCAGATTTTGCAGCAACACCCTGTACAAGTAGGGGCAGAAACATTACTGTCCTAATCTACAAGGGATTCCAAACAAAAAATGGTCAGTTGGGCAGATTTTGGGAAAACATTTCACCCTCATACAAATTAATGCAGATGTTCAATATAGTGTAGATTCGTAGAAACACAAACTTATAAAGCACATTTAACTGTATACATGCATAATGATGCACAAATGTATAAACAAAGACATGTGAGTTCACAGACACACACATTGATTCAAGCATTATTATTAAGGAATACTCATATTTGAAGTAGACGCCCCATTTTTATAATCAGTGTGCATTATACTTATTCTAAACATAGTAATTTGTAAAGAATAAATGAATTTATTTTTAATCCAAAATTTTCATAAAAATGGAGAGTATATTTCAAATAAACACATCTACTAATAATTACATTTGAATTTATAAAAATGTCAAATCAAAAATAAATCCATATATATATATATATATATATATATATATATATATATATATATATATACACACACACTGATAACTGCATATATGCATGCACTCACATTTTCATATAGTACAAGATAAAATTGATAATTCAATAAAGATTTTAGTTATGAAAATTTTAGCCAACCATCTACAGAAATGCTCAAATTGCAATTGAGCCTTTGCTAAGAGAAACTAGATTTTATCAAATGTTGATCTCAAAATAGTGAAGATAGAAAAATATTATAATTATAAAAAAAAATAAAAGAATGTTAAACAAGGATACACCATTTTAAGTACTAAATTCACATTAGTTTTTAACTCCAATCTACTTTGAAAGTATGTTTGTACACATGCCCAACTAAAAGAAATAAGAAAGAAATAATATTACAAAAGTACTACAGTCAGGACCACACTCAGATTGATTTTTTTTTCAGTCATCACTGCCAAATGCAGAAAAAAGAAGTCTAATAACAGAATGAATACTGTTTGGAGACAGTCAACAGAAAACACTAAATCTTTTTCTTATAAAAAAAAGAAAAAAAAAGGAAAAAGTGTGTTATTTTTATAGTTTTAAAAACAACTTTTATTAATATTTTCTTAATTCATATAAGAAATATGAATTCAAGTGAAAATTAGAAAGTAACTTGAATATTTTGAGAAAAGAAACAAGATTTATCTTCTATAGGGTTTAGAAGAAAGGATAAAATCAAAAACAAGTGCATCAGATAATTTAAAATTAAAAAAAATAATTTTAAAAGAAAAATTCTTGATAAACAAAATAAAATAGGAATGCAATTTTCATGAACTAAAACAATGAATATGGAAAAGCTATTTATAAAAACACTTCTCAAAAATAATAAAATAATTTTTTAAGAACTAGAAATTTAGAAAAGTTCAATCACTTAAGTAATCAATTTAGTACGAGTAATAAAAAAAAACAAAATGAATTCTTTGAGACACTGCATTTTATATATATATATATATATATATATATATATATATATCAAATAAACAAATGAAAATACAATGATTTATCTCTCAACTCAAAATTTTGCAAAGGTAAATCAGCACATCAGAAGTAAGATAAATCTATTAAATTTATTTACAGTCATATCTATTTTAAAATATGTTAAATTAAAAAAAGAAAAATGATATCAACTAAGTAATTTACTGGTCAACAGGTTTTTTTAAGAGTAAATAATTTATGTTATTATATATGTATGCATACACACACATATATAATGCACGTGTAATACACACATAAAGATCTACAGTATGTACATCTGTAAAGTATATCATTGTTGCTTGAAAGAAGAAATTTCATAGATATATCTGAAAAGAATAGTAAATAGTCTGTTGGTTTAATAGATTAATAAAGAAACCCAACTACTGAATATGCAAAAGTGTAGATATCAGCACAAGTGTACATTTTTTATAACTGGCATTTGACATAGGATAAATATATTTTATTAACTGTCAATTTTACAAACTTTCTTTCAAATTGTGCACTTTATTTTTTTCTGTGATTAATGTAACCAAAATGAAAGATGAATTTGATGCTTAAATAAAAGAAGCAATATTTTTATACATATTCCCCACACAGATAAAAATGGGTGTGTTAATCCTTATAAATTCCTGAATGCAACAAAGGCACTACCCAACAGACAGTGAATTGAAGACTATGAGGACAAGGATGATATCAGTTCAATGCAAAGTAAATTACATTTATTTTAATTTTGGCAAATTTGAAAACAGATTACAAACAGTAAGCATTGAGTGTGAAAGTCGTCCAGTCATCTGTTTGATAGTGAGAGAGCAAGAAGTCCAGACATTTGAGATGGGTTGGCTTGGGCTGGCTACTTATTCACAGAGATGACTGGTCAGTAGCTTAGAGAGATTCTGAAGCAGGCCAAAATCAATACCAATTCCACAGAACCATTGTCAGAAGGATGCAAAAGTTGTGCATTTACTAGTTTTATAGTCCTTCAGATGGCAGATCGCCCAGTGTTGCCTGAAACAACACAAGATGATTGGAATTGTTTGTAGCCAAGATTTTGCATTGCTTTACAGATTAAAGAATATTATCATCATATTAACAGCCAGTCTATTTTAACCTACTTTGTAGGATCACTGCACTTACTGGGGCACCTATATTGGTTAATATATGGAACTTGACCGGAGTTGTTTTGATTCTATCAATTCCACTCACCCAAAGACATACCAGTTTAACTTAAAGGAGTGTTCACAAATTGTAAGAAACTTTTTAAAGTGGACAATGTTTGTAAAACCCTGTTACATATTAAGATGCCACCAATGACCTTTCAAAACTAAAAATTGTTCATTTTAATCCAGATGTCTGTATCCAATTACTTGTTGAAGTAAATTTGTTTTATAAAGTGTTATCTTCAGGAAAATACAAAAAAGTTCAAGAGACAATAGAGAAAGGAAAATCTTCTAAGTACAAAGATGGTTTGCATTTCATTAGCTGTTATAAACAGCATAAACTGACCAAGTCACAAAAATCTAAATAATTATAGATTATGAGAGAAAATAATCTTTTCAATGAAACATTTTTACTTATTAGACCATAACTAATAGCCACTGAATGATTTCTTAATAGTTCAAATATTTTGATTTATTCTTTAACAAAAGTATAAAAATGATACATTTTATTAAATCATTTTTGAGTAGAAAACTATTTTGTGGGTTTATGCTCAGTTTTATGAGGCAAAAAGTGTGTATTTTAATAAGTTTTCAGGTACTGACAAAAGTGAATCTTCAACTGAATTTTATATAATAAATAAAAGGGGGAATATATAATTAAGCTAATAATTTAGTCTGGCAATTTATACAGTCTTCTTTGATAAAAATTTATGCAGACTAAAGAGTATAGTGCAGTGGTTAATGTACTAGTGTCAAAAGCTGTTGATAGTAAATCTGAACATTGATGAATTCTTAATAACTTATGCTTTTGTGTCACATTAAGCAATGTTTATTTTATATATGAGAGATGATTAAGTGAAAAAAGAGTTTAAAAGATGAACAAAAATGTTTTTTAAAAAAAAAAACAGAAGGAAAATGGTAAAAAGAAATTTGAAAATAGAAGAGTGGGAATCCTTTGAGCATTAATAAAGAGAAATGAAAGGGATTAGGAAAAAAGAGGTAGAATTAGACAGAAAGGCAAATAAAATGAAAGGATAAAGAGGAGTAAAGAAAGAGAGAAAAAATAATAAGAGTGAATAGTAGAGAAAAAGAGGAGAAAGAGTTTAGAAAAGAAAAAAAAAGAGCTGAATATAGAAAAGAGTCAAGGAGATGGAATGAAAAATACGAGAGAGAAAAGAAAACCTATTAGGGAAAGTAAACTACAATTGTTCAAGAATGTGTTAAGCAAAGAAATGAGATCCCAGCCATTAATATTTCAAAACTAAAAGCAACATTGTCCAAATATTGATCTATGTGTGAGACAGTGTAATCAAATTGCACAAATCAACACTAATTTTGGGATGAGCAGTTTTTAGTAGTCTAAACAGTTTATTTACTAAGACAGTTGCAGTTTCTAATTCCCATTTCAAATCATCTATTTTCTTTATCCACTGATTACTTAGACAGAAGCAATTTAAAAAAAAAAAAAAAAAAAGAGTATTTGTTAAATCTATCACAATCCTCTTGTGATAACTAAGTTAGCGATCAGTGAATATAAGGTAATAAAATTGTTTTTGATATATATGAAATAATTATTTTTGTAATATTAACAACAATGTCTTCATTTTGTTAATGCTTCCAACAGAAATATTAATAGCATTAATAAAATAGATAATGAACAATGATCTGTTATGATTAATTAATAATGGCAACACTAAATAATATTAATCGTGATGATTAGTGAGCCTCTTAGATCAATTCACTAATGTAGGAAGTTTTATTCACACAAGATAGATCTTGACAATATAGTCTGGCACGAATAGACTAAGTTCAATAAATAAAATATAGTGATATATTAAATATTTCTGTAGAGTTGCAAATAGTATTATTTCTATTCCAATTTTTAGATCTGTTTGTATCTTGTTGCCCTCTAAAATACAATTAATTTTATTTGCCATTTATTTTTCCCATAAAAATGGTTATAAAACAAAACAAAGGATGTTAGTATTTCTGATTTAACAAATTCTATAATAATCTCACAGAAAATTAATAATATAAATTCAACAATTCAATAAAATATGCAAAAAATTACATAATAAAAAAAATACTAATAATAATTTCTATCTGAATTTAAAGGACAAGAAGTTATATGTTTGAAATTCCCTGAAGGTTTCTCAGATTGACAAACCCTGAAAGAAGTCACAACTGTGAAAATGTGATAACAACAACAAAGATAAGGATATTAATTTGAATATAAATGATGTAAATAAAAAACTTTCTCAGTTGTCATCAAAAGTTTCATGTTTATAGCCTGACCAGTTTCACTATCAAGCATTACATATCTTTTATATAAATGTCAGCTTCAAAAGTTTCTTTGAATTTTTGAGAATTATACAGAATGAGAGTAGGAGGAGGTAACACAACATATTGGAGGAGACATAAAATGTTGATTTCATTCATCACCATGATGTTCATGTTAATTACTCAGACAAAAATAGCACTTCTTAACTTCAAAGAGTATATACAATATTTACCATTTTATTAGGTGCATTTTATTGCATATTCTAACCATACGTAATGTTTCTAATTTTTAATAAAAAAAACAACACACATTTATATTAAAAAAAATACTTAGAAACTACTAGAGTAAAACGCTCTCAAAATTTCAAAAATTTGATATTGTTTCAAAATTTTACATCTTTATGGTACTCAGTAAAGTTGTTGACATCAGCCAGATTGTAGAGATAACATGTATATTTTGACATGTAAATGAAATATGAATGTACAGTAGCTTGCATAAGTATACATTCCCCTTGAACATTTCCACATTTTGTAGTTGTTGTGGCCTTGTTAGGGATAGAAATAAAGGCACAAAGAGGAATTGAGTTAAACAAATATATTAACAGAAACACTAATACAAACATCTACAAACAAGAGTGTTACAGCAAGAATGTTCAGTCCGAATGTCAGAGCTGACTGCTGGAAACTTCCCTCTCTAAAAGGCAGTACCTGCTCCTATTTATAGCTGGGAGAGTCCATGTATGAGTGGGTAAATTACCATAACAGTAGTGTTACCAACTGGAATTCAAATGTACTTAAATGATCTTTTTACTGTTTGATCAGCATAAAATGTAGTGCTTTCAAGGTTCAAAATTCATTTTATTGTGACAAATAATAATTAGGACAACTAAGCAGTCATCTTTTGGATGCATAAGTATTCACCCCCACATAAGTCACTACTTTGTAGGACCACCTTTTGCTAAAATTGCAGCTGCAATTTATTTTGGAATATGTCTACCAGCTTTACACATTTAGAGATTGAAATTTTTGCCCATTCATCTTTGTAAAATAGCTGAAAATCAATCAAATTGGATGGACAGTCTGTGAACACTGATTTACAAGTCTTGCCACATATTCACAATTTGATTTAGGTTTGGGCTTTGAATGGGTCATACATTAATATGCTTTGATCTAAATCCTTTCATTGTAATGTCTGGCTGTATGTTTAGAGTTGTTGTTTGCTGGAAGGTGAACTTCCACCCCAGTCTCAAGTCTTTTGCAGATTGTAACAGATCTTCTTTGAGGATTACCCTGTATTTGGTTTCATCCATCTTCCCATAAACACTGGTCAGCTTCCCTGTCTCTACTGAAGAAAAGCATCCTCATAGTATGAGGCTATTATCACCATGTTTCACAGTGGGTATGATGTACTCAGGATGATGTGCAGTATCAGGTTTCTACCACACATGGTATTTTGCATTAAGGTCAAGTTCAATTTTGGCCTCATCTGACCAAAGCACATTCTTACAAATGTTTGTTGTGTATCCCACATGGCTTGTGAAAAACTGTAAACAAGACTTCTTATGGCTTTCTTTCAACAATGGCTTTCTTCTTGCCACTCTTTTGTAAAGGCTAGATTTGTTGAGTTGTCCTGTAACAAATTCTCCCAGGTATGGAGCTTTGCAGCTCCTCCAGAATTACCATGGACCACCTGGTTGCTCTTATGATTAAGGTTCTCCTTGATTGACCTATATCAGTTTAGGTGGCTATCCATGTCTTGGTAGGTTTGCAGTTTGTCTCATACTCTTTCCACTTTCAGATGATGGATGTTAATGGTGTGTTCTGTGAGATATTCAAAACATGGGATATTTTCTTTATAACTTAGTCCTGCTTTATACTTCACCACAACTTCATCCCTGACCAGTCTGGTGAGCTCATTGATCTTCATGATCTGTTTTTTTTTTTTTTTTGGTAATGTTCTCTAAAAAACCTCTGAGGCCTTGACAGAACAGGCATATTTAACTGGAGAGTGCAAAATCAAGAATTGTAACTTTTTCCATTTTTTCTTTACTCAAAATAAATTGTCATAATCAGGTGGACTCTATTTACTAATCATGTGACTTCTGAAATCAATTGGTTACACTGAATTTTACTTAGGTGTTTCACAATAAAGTGGGATGGGGCTGTATACATACACAATATTTTTCACATTTTTATTTGTAAATAATTTTGAAAATCATGTAATATTTTCCCTACACTTCCCTATTTTGGGTTGGTTCATTACACAAAATCTTAATAAAATACATTTTAATTTGTGATTGTAACATAAGAAAGTGTGTAAAAGTTCAAGGGAGTGGGGGTGAATACTTATGCAAGGCACTGTATATATTTGAAATCAGATGACACTGTAAACAATTTCTTCTTGTAAGGAAAAAGGTAAAAATCATGTCAAACATTATGGTTGAACTTGAAATGTTATTAAACAAGAAATTGCTTCACCACAACAATATTACAATTCTTCACTGTAAAAGTAAAATATAATATTTTACTTTTGTTTTATAACCTCACATATGCTCCAGTTTCAGATAATAAAGTTCAGATGAATTCTATTCAAAGTAGAACTCCTTGATTAAGATGGTTTTATGGGTAAAATGTTCATTTTGACTAAAAGTAAATTCTCAACATTTGTATGCTGCTATATAATATAAATAAAAGTCAAGGTGCATTTGTTAGAGGTGAATTTGTATTGAATATATTTTCTCCACCAAAACAAGTTTTATTCATTTGGATTATTATTGCTTTTTAACATATAAAATAAAACAAAAGAAATAAATGACTAAACAGAAATGAATGATAAAAAGAGAATATATGCATAAAAAAATGATTATTTTAAACATCTGTCCTTTCATAAGCCAAAAGTATTTCAAGAAAATGAAAAAAAAGACAAAAAATTGCAGCAAGAAACAGATCACTTGCATGTTGAAACCCTACTGAGACAAAGCAAAGAACTTTAGTTGCCTAAAGCATTTCAGCTTTTACCGTATTGTTTAAGTCATTTGTTTTTTTTTCGATTGACATCATCAGTAAATCCAAGAAGGATTGCAAAGTCAGCAAATATTCATCCAAGAGGCCAGCATTTCGTGTCACAAGAGAAATATGCAGCATAACATCTAAAAGAGTGAGCAATATAAGCCAGAATAGTGACAGAATTTGGTTAAAGAAATTCATGTGAATATTTCCAATTGAAAATATGTTGCACAGAAAAGAACATGAGGTTTTAATGTTATCAAGTGGATGTAAATTTGATTCAGACATAATTTACACAAGTTTAGTTAGCATTCAAAATATGCAGCACTAAACAAGTGATTGGCATGGATCTGTTAGAGGAGGGTGCATGGAAATTAGTTTTTGTAGCTCTATTAGAACAAGCAGTTTGAAAAAAAAAATCCCACAGAAATTTAAAGAGCTTGAAGTTATGCAAGTGTGTTGAAAATTCTTAGCTTGACCCACTTCTCAAAATCTGACCAAACATCAATGTATTTTTTAAATCATTTTTTGGTTGAGTCAAAAATTTTTCAGAACCTCTTCATATTTTGTCACTCTTTTAACAAGGTCAAAAAACTACAACTGTCTTCTACCTTGATAGATAACTAACAAGTAGTTTCATCACAATTAAAAATAATTAGTGAGTACCTTATATTTATGTCTTTACAATTAACGTGTTCCTACAATCTGATAACAGCCTTCCTATATTTTTTTAGATTATCAAAATCCAAGAACTGAAAAGCTTTACTTCTTATAAGAAATTTAGTGAGATGAGTTCTCAAACAGGATCATTTTCACATGAAAAAAAAAATTTAGAACA